GTCAACCATCGTTTGGTCAACCATCGTTTGGTCAACCATCGTTTGGTGGAGGTTTTACCACTGGTTTCGGATTTCCATCAGCTCCTCCTGTCGTTCCAACACCCTCTTTTCCAGTACGTATTTTCTTTTCATGTTTTTTTTTCTTTCATAAATTCTAATTTTGATAATCTAATGTAGATGGGTGGTGGTGTACCGTCTATACAATCATGTAGAATACAGACTGGTTCTCGTATTTTTGTACGAGGTTATATTCCTCCTGGTGCAAATCGATTTGAACTTAATTTATTACAAGGATATACAGATGGTGATGATATTGCTTTTCATTTTAATCCACGTTTTGATGTACGTACAATTGTTAAAAATCATCGACGAAATGGTCAATGGGGTCAAGAAGAAAATCAACCATTTCCATCTTATATGCCTTTAATGCCAGGTACACAAATTGATTTACAAATTACATGTAATCCAGATAAATATACAGTAAGAGATAAATATTTCATTTTAATTATTAAGGAAAAAAAAACCCTAAACATTTACTTTAGGTATATATGAACAATCATCTTATTGCTGAATTTTATCATAAAATTCCACCTGGTTATGTAAGTATTATTGCAAAATGAATTATTTATTTTTTGTAACAATAAAAATGTATGTTTAGGTTATGGCTCTTCAATATAAAGGCGATATTACAATTACAGGTGTTGGTCAATTGTGAAAAAAAAATCATACGTTTTATTATTGATTGATTTTCTTTTTGAAAAATATTTAATTGAATTTAAATAATTCATTTTATATTTTTTTTTAATGAAATAAATAAAATACTTAAGCAACATCTTAAAAGCACTATTTTTATTGATAATAGCATGCTCGACAATTCTTTATACTAGAAAACTATTTACATAAAAAACTTTTAACTTATAGTTTTGAACTATTGAAAATTTTATTGATAATTAATTTCTATTTTTATGTTATTTTTTACAATAAACTCACTAATTTTTCAAACATACAATTATAACAATTTTTCATTAAAGCATCGTGCTCTGAGTCGATATTCATCCTCTTACATATACTCGTTATTGACTACACTAAATATTTCAAAGTATTCCAAATGAAAAATATTACAACGAATATACATGTTAATTTTTCGGAATTTATCCAAAATTCTATTAATATACATTGTGACAAAAATCCCTTATTTACAAAAGTATAAAAACTTTTTTACATTTAATAATTTCGTTTTTCAAGATCTAAGATATGACAATATAAAAAAAAAACCACTTCTATTGTGAAAGTATAATGTAACTAAAACTATTTTGTTGATCATATCTTTTCTTTTTTTTTTTCAAGCCACTATTGTTGTCTTTTTGATAACATTGTTGATTAGTATGAAGGACTACTAAATATCTACATATGGTTAACTATATTTTTTTTTCTTGTTGTTACTCTGTTTGATCGGCAAGATAAGGTTTCAAAGTAGTGAATAAGTATGCTGTCATCTTATCTTCTTCTGCGTTGTTTCTCTATCATCAAATATTAGATTATATATAAATTAAGTCATTTTTGCTTATACGTTACTTCATCATTTACTTACCATAAAGCGAACAACTCTTCAACACTTAGTATTTAGCTAACAATGGGTCAAGTACGTAGAAAATTTATATTTGAGTTTCAATTAAATCTATTTATATACATATATATATATATATATATATTATCTTTTAGCAAGCTGGTCATTATCAACAATATGTAAGTTCTTATTTAAAAAATTATATATTTAATTATTTCGATATATCTCTTATATATAGACTGTTCCTTATGAAGCACATATTTCACCACCAATTTCCTATGGTACTCAAGTACATGTTTATGGTACTGCACTTGGTGATCGGTAAGTATATTCTATCTTAAATGATATTTTATTTGATAAAAAAAAAAATTTTTTTCAAGATTTGAAGTCAATTTGGCTAATCGTCGTGGTGACATTGTTTTACATGTCAATCCACGTTTGAGTGATCGTCAGTTAGTATTAAATGCTGCACCCGGTGGTGGTTGGGGAGGTGAAGATCGTAAACCATTGAGTATCACACGTGGCCATCAATTTAGTATTATCATTATGGTTACAGAACAATGTTTCAAAGTAAAAAAAAAAAAAAGATCATAAATAAATATAAAATGAAAAACTTTTTGTTTCTGTTTTTGAATTTTTAAGATAGCGGTTAATAATCAACATACAGCTGATTTTCATCATCGAATGCCATTTAATGCAGCTGAACTGGTTACTGTTAAAGGTGATGTTAATTTAACAAATGTTCAAGTTTATCCAGGCATGACTACCAATTATGGTCAACCATGGCGTTTTGCTATGGTTAGAATCTTTTATATTATTTTTTGTATATTTTAAATTTATTATATTTTTATAGGAAACTCCAGTACCTATGAATGTTTTTCCTGGTAAGATTTATTTATTTTTTTTTTTGTTAATAAATTTATAATTATTGATAATGTTTAGGTCGTGTTATAAATATTACTGGTCGCGCAAATAGTAATGCATCACGATTTGAAATTAATTTATTAGCAGGAAATTATAATGGAGCTGATGTTGCATTTCATTTTAATCCACGTTTTGATCAACGTGAAGTAGTACGTAATTCATGTCAAGGTGGTGGATGGGGAGCCGAAGAAAAACATGGAGGATTTCCATTAAATTCTGGTCAACAATTTGATATTCAAATAATTTGTTTTCCACAACATTATCAAGTATAAATGAAAGATTAAATTTTTGAAATATTTAGTTTTTATTATTTTATTATCTAGGTTAATTGTAACGGTCAAGCATGGTTCACATTTCAACATCGTTTACCATATCAACAAGTACAAGCATTA